CTGCAGCTACCGCCGATAGACAATGACACTGTTATGTCCTCTGGTTTTAAGATGTGACAGAGGCAGCGGTGTCTACGGGGGAGTCAGAGGTTTTTACGCCCACTGAATGTACTTTTGTGATGGCTCTTCACAAAAGAGCCACACATCATGTCAGACAAGGCCGCGTACAATGAAAGCGCATTATGCCCTGATGTATAGACTTGCACCGTCTGGATTCCTGGCAAGTGAAAGAAGGATGGTTTGGAAGCTGTGACTCTGGGCTTTGTTTGATTCTCTGAGACTTTCATTAAGGATGAGACCAGATTTATGTGCTCCGTACCCATCGGGGATGATGGCACACATGAAAATACAATGACTACACACACACAGTTGAAGATATCGAGGCTGTGCCAGATATAGAGATGAATCGTTTCTTTCAGTCTGCAGGTGTTGTATTGTGCCGCCAAAATAAAATCAGGTCAGCTTTGAACTCCCCCGCGAAGAAGAAGACGAAAAAAGGGAGGAAGTTTAAGAGAAGCCGAGCTGCAGGAGGCTGAAAGTAAACCTGGAGTGTTTGCAAAGCAAGATCAGCGCACATGCAAATCAACACAGCGCCAACATCCTGCAACGACAGCTGACATGTAAGTGTCGTTCCAGCACGGTGACATGACAGGAAGACATCAGACCTTAATAGACTGAACCGTACAGTAGATCCAGGCCGAGCTGCAGTGTTATTGTGCTTGTTATCAGACCCAGATGTGACAGCGCAGCCAGCAGGTATTCACAGCTCTTCTGGCGCCGAGCCAAACAGGAAGCTGGAATAACAGCCTCTCAGATATATGCCACCGCCTCAGGGCCGCAGCTTCAACCAGCAAACATACAACCTAACCCACCCCCTCGTGCGTCACACCACTCCAGCCCTGCTGCCAACAAAAGCAGAGAAATAAGAAGTCGAAGGCGTTAAATTGTTTTATGGGATGGATCATCAAACTGGGCGTGCTCCCTCTGTTAGTTATAATCCCCACATCTTTCAGAAAGATAACTCGTTCCAGCAGAGTTTAGTGTGATGTTGTTGAAGGCTGATCAAATCATCTATGATCTTAGGCTGGCTTTGTAAGAGTTTTCTGAGAACTGTGACTTAATTTGAGGCAGATGGGAGCTGGAATTACAGAATATCACAGTTTTCTAACAGCATTTTTAAAGGCTAATTCTATGAAAGAGGTTTTTTTTGATAGGTTGGGTACAGGGCCGGACTAGTTTCCAAGTGGTTTAGCTGCAGTAAGTGAACACAAGATGTGTGACCAAGTAGGTCCATGCAAGGACGAAATTTTAATTTCAAAGGTGAGGGAGGCACATGTGACTTGAGTACTGATGTGACATGCGGATTCAAACGTCAATGTTCAGCTCAGTTCTGCCTTTACATATAGCCTTGCAAACAGCACATCTCACACATACAGTAACAGAGGAGGCAATACGGCCAGCAGGTGGATGGAAGTACAAACCCGATACAGGGATGTAAATGAAACCTCAGATGAATGTGATGTTACGGAGGGAAAATGAACGCCGCCCTCCTCTGAACTTACATCGGCAAATAGCGATGTTTACAGACTGACTCTTACAAGCAACTTGCAAAACACTAGTCCAGCAGGCATGGAAGGATATTTTGGATCTTAGTAGATCAGGCCCAAAAAGCGGCCCTGCGGCAGAGCCAATCAAGGACCATGTGAGCGGTCCAAACAGAGGGAAACCAGTTTTAGGCTTGAGCGGCCTTTGGTCCTAGTGCCTGACGAGTATCGGTTTGCGAGAGCACAAAGTAACATTGTTTTCAGACCATTAAAGGTCTTAACACACCAGGGCTGACACAAGTATAGAATGCGAAAGTACAAAATATCCGGAGGTGACTTTTGACGCGCCTGACTATACAAATCAAGCCCGATGCGATTCTGTGACTTTCTGGGGGAAAAAGACGCATCCCGGGGAAGACTTTTGCCGGGGAAAGTCCCGCCTCCTTCGCCTCTGATTGGCTAGAAAAGCTGGAAACGTCATTAAACGCTCAAGCCAAACGGTCAGCACTTATAGCCAATCAGAGGCGATAAGATAAGCACTTGAAACTATGGTAACAACCGTGATCATACTTGCATTGTGCGATTGGTGATGAGCTCCTATTGTGAAGAAGTCACTCATATGCTTGGATGTTTACCTGATGGACCGCTACGTGCTCGATCTGGTAATGGTTCACGCATGGAGTCCTAGATGAAAGATAGACGCAGCCCTGGGCAGGAGAAGAGGAATGGTGAGAAGAGGACGGTGTCTCTGCAGCTGATCTCATCAAACAATGTGAGACTCTGGACTCATGAGGGCAGATCACTCTTGGGCGTCATCATCGCCATAGCAACCTGATAGAGAGCGGCTCCATAATCAGCGGCTCTCATGATCTCACATCTCTTTTTCCACTTATGAAAGGAGACCATGGGTAAGAGAGAGTGGAAAACCTGCAGGCAGTAAACAGCTGCAGAAACAGACTTCCTACCGACACCCCCTGAATGTTCATGTTTAATGTATCGCTGAAAACTCATAACATGCTCATCATGTAGCCTAAAAGTACTTAAAGGGTAATATATACCATGCATGTGTTCATTATGCAAATTCAAATCCTGACAGGGTGAGCAGGACCATGTTGAGAAGCTCGTCCCACTCTGAATGGATTATAATTTGCATAATTACCTGCTTAGTGCGTATATGTTATCCTGTTTATTACCATCCGTCAGTTTGAGACAAAAACAAGGTGACAAAAAACAGCCTTGAAAACGTCCCTCAGATAACAAAGTCTGATCAGCCTCCGTGTGGGACGGATGAACATCAAACTGAACATTTAAAATCAGGGTTAAGTTCAAACATGATTCGGCTTATTTGTTCTGTACTTAACTTGTCAGCTGGCAACCACATCAGAAAATCTGAGTGCTGTTTAGGAGTGTGAATCACCTCAGATCTGAAGATGAAACTGGACTTTACCTACAGCACTGCATAATGGAGGGGAAACAGACTCCAGGTCTGCACTCCTGGTTTGATCAGCCGTTTCTGGCAGCATGTAGGCTAATACATTGGCACACCTTCAATTATGAGGCGATTCTTGGCATGATACTACACTATCTTTGTTTTTTAAGCACACAGAAAAGTGCTGGACCGTATCTTTGGGACTTTTTAATGATCTGTACAGAAATTGGTAAAATGGCTTTTGGATACTTAGCCTGGAATTTATTACTTCAAATACAAGGAAGCGTATCATTAAATATTTTAAAAATCTAAAATGCAAGAATATGAAGACTCTTTAAAATGTTATTGCTTTTAGATTACCTTGTTGCACGATTGACTCTGAGATAGTCTCTCTTTTTATTGTCAGTTTTAATGCTTATGGACTGTACTGCGTCTCCCTGTGTCTGCATAGATGGATAAAACTTCAGAAATGAAGAGTTTTAATGACTGTAACTCTTCCCAGATGTCATGATTTATGAGTATTCACATGAGTTTACCATCAGTGTCTTTTGGTCCTGCTTGATCTGAGCCTGAAATCTGTATCTGTGATTATCTTAATTTTTATACTCTTAGACTTCTTGGATACTCTGTGATGAATCTTGTTTTTTAACAGTGAGAATTGATTCTGCTCACACTGGACACCATTTTTAATTTTTTTTTCAGCAAAATTACTGTAAATCACAGTGCATCCTTTCTGTTAAATGTCTAGTTTTACTTATTTATTTTGTTTTTTTTAATCTTAACCGTAGAACACTATCGATAAAATTAGTAGCATCATCGCCAGGTGATTTTTACCAGAAATAATATACCCAAGAAAAAGTACTTTTCATCAAAATATATCAAAATAGTACAATACATGACAAATTAAAGTTTTTTATTAAATATTATTAACTGTGCAATGTCCAAAGGGAGGAAAAAAGTGCCATGAGGGGCAGCGAAATAACTGAAATTAGGCATTCATGAGCAAAAAATTCCTAATACTTATATATATATATATATATATATATATATATAATATATAAACTTAGTTTCAAAATATGGCATATTTTGAGTGAGTAAAAAATGACCAGCTTATTTAAATATTTTCTAATCATCATATGAATTCCCTTGAAAATCACTACTTTATGATAGTTATTCATAACTACTGCACTAAATAAAGATAGCATGCAAATTCCAGGACCACTCTTACTGACCTTATTCTCTACATGCAGCTATTAAATCCACCCAAACCTAATTTACCCTCTATCACTATCGACGGCTGAAAATCACCCGAACACGTTTTGGATCAGGAAAACAAATATTCCTTCAAAGATGTCAAAGGCAATGCTGAAGCTACCCAGGGACCCATGATACTCAGACAAATGCAACATAATGAAAATCACGTAAACATGTTTGTTCGGATTAAAATCACCTGGCGATAGTGTTCAAGGGTTAAGAAATATCCACTGAGTCATGTGAAGTATTCAAGCAGTTCTTGTTCAGTTTGCGGTTTATTCTAAATGTGGCTTTGCTCATAAACATGTAAAATTAACAAATGAAACAAAAAACAACAGTTTCACTTCTGCAAAGACACGTGTGAGCTGATAAATGAACCCGTACTCAGCTAAACTTTTATTAGCGCCCTCAGGAAAAATCAGAACCTGCTCCTTTCAGTCTAACATTGTTTCATATGAGAAAAGACGACATCCACAGTCCATTGTCCTGATATTTATGGGACCACCCCACTCGTCTTTGCTCTTTCTCTTACAGACAAACAGATGTCTCTCTCTCACACACACATTGAGCTAGTTGAGGTCATATATCTGCTCGGTGCGTTTCTGGTCTGGGTCTTCCTGTTCTCAGTTGTGACCCCTCAGCACAGGAAGCTCTTTGCAGCTGTACCACCATCCCAACTGTGACAGCAGCAATGGCAGGATGTCCTGTTTGAGTCCTCAGGGGAGGCTGGCAAGGTTCAGCAGCCGCCTGTGCCACAAAACACACACGGCGATAAACACTTAAATATTAGTCAATTTTGACACGTAGAGGTTTTTAATCTCTGTCATTTAAAATGAAGCAGTATGAATCAGGAATACAGGGGCCTAATGCTGGGAAGCATTTTTACATTTTGTTAAAGCGTCTGTGAGAAGTTTTATCCAGTTATGTAAGAGACTGCAATTAAAACAGGTGTTTTTTTTTTTTATTACAAGCTTTAAAAATGAACTAAATGAACAGCAGTAATATATTTTTACTACAGGGATGCATAACATGGACTCGTTGGTTCTTGGGACCAACGATGGGTGAGCCCACCTGTACATCGATCTGCCCGGCTACCGGCTTTGTTCGCTCTGGACAGCATTGTGGTCCAAGCTTCATCTGTGAGTTCAGATTGTTGAATTTTAATTGTTTTCTTTATTTTGTTTGGTTGGTCCAAACAAAAAGTTAATGTTTGGTTGCTTTAAAGGTTCACAATCAGTGTTCAAGTCTGTAGTTTCAACAAGTCGGTGTCCTCCCATCTCCTCAGCTAAAGCCACCTGGATCTTTGGACACCATGTAGAACTTCAGTACCTGGCAACACAAATTATGGCCAGAAAATTCAAATTTTTTTTTTGTTTAAATGTTTATTTCACTCGTTTGATACATTAGATGTTTTTGGAAACTGATAAACTACAAGAGAACTTTTTTTTTTTAATTTTTTTGTTTGTTTTTATCATTTATTGGACTGTATTCAGGTGTTTTTTTTAGTAATTTGTTGATCATATTGATTTCAAAGACGTTTCTAAAAGTATGTATTAAATATGATACAAAAGGCATTAAAGGGTTAAAGGAGACACGCCTCAATAACGATGCATTTAAGATCATCAGATCACCCGGTGATATTTCCACTCAGCTTAAACCTATTCTTTATTTCCTTTTATTGAGAACTAGTTTTAAAGTAATGTTCTGAATAAAACAGAAAAGAGGGACTTAAACTTGCCTATCACTTTTGGTCTTTATTTGAGAATTAACAGTAAAAACAGGCATGCAACAGTTTTTTTTTCCTGATGTAGATAAAGTTATTAAAAGCTTTTTATAATAATCCATTTGCAGAAGTCTTAAAAAGATGCCAAGTGTGCAGACCCTGATAATGGAAATAGCGAGCTGTTGCAGAGTTGAACTGCATGAACAGTCTGTATAATGTCATTGTGGCTGCATGTGCAAATAAAAGTGACGAGTTCATTCCCAAACCGGCCTCTTTGAGTGTTATGGTTTGCAGTGATCCACTTTGGAGGAACCACTGTGAAGTCTTTCCAAAGTCTGCGGTGATTAAAGCAACAGAACAACTCATTTATTCCATCACCTGAACTTGAGCCGAGAAAAATCTGAGTATTTGAGATACAGGAGGCAGCAGCTGCTCAAAGACTTTAAAGAAAACAGAGATAGCACCTCCATCATCAAAGCAACTCATACTTTGAAGCCGATGTAGAGTGAAAATATTATTGGGTTTCGTTTTGTTCATTTACCCCACTCTTATCGGAACGACCCACTGTAGGGTAAAGGGCGGTTGTAGGCTGGACTTAAATCAGGCCGGATGGAAATCTGTCTGAGTGGGAGCAAGGCCAAACGTTTCAGCCAGAGCAAATAAAACACAAGCTCACAGATTCGTCTGGTTCCCAGGCTTCTGCTGTGTAGCGCAGAGACAGCAGAAATAATGGGGTGACTGTACAAGAAACCCATATAAACATCTTCTTTTAGTGTTATTATATGAGGACAAATAGGTGTGTTTCCAGAGCTACGACCTCACTAGGTGTTTTTATGAGTAACACTAGAATTTCAATTATCATCCGCTGCAGACTTAAAGGAAGCCTCAGTGACTTTCAGACTGGAAATACCATTGAGTAACCTGTCTGGATTTGATGGACGGTTTCAGCGCTAAGGTCTGTCGGGGTGAAGGGTTCTGCTTCCTCCTGCTTTCAGCCGCTGCAGGAAGTGTGCAAAACTCATCTGTTGCATTTTCCTGTCCACAAATCATCGCCGTGCCTCAGAGGAATTATTTTTACTCCACTTATCTCTGGAGTATCCTCTAAAGGTCGCAGCTCCTTAGCCCACGCTCCGTCATACTTAACATGCTAAGTGCTTCTTAACATGCAAGATCTCATAGCTGCGAGTAAACAGAAGAGCGTCCCCGTCAGCCGCTCCGACGTGACTTGTTAGGGCTGTTGGGCACCGGGGCGGACTGAGACTGTGTTCAGGATGACACGATGACTGCAACCCATCAGAATGTCAATGCCCCCGGCCCAGCTGAGTCCAGCTCACTTCCTGTGGATCAGGGCTTTCTCTCATGGCTGCTGAATGGGGACGGTGTGACAGCTCTGAATCGGGTTCCTGTTTTTGCTCTTCAATTGAAAGTGATCTGTTTGCCAAGGTTCACTTTTCGAATCTATACCCTTTAAAACACGCCCAGCAGCTCCCAGGAAAGGAGAAATGAAAGTCAGGAGCTGCTGGAGAAAAACCTCTGAGTCTGAGGATTTTCCTCTCTGACCAGGGAAAATTAGAAATCCTTTCAAAGAGAAAAAACATTTTTAGAGTCGATGTTCAGAACTGCTACACTGGCAGTTTTGTTTTCAGAGAAAAACAGTGTTATTTTGGCGATTGGCTCTTCAGTTTGGAACAATATGGTTTCAGTGTGTAAAACAAACTCCTTGTTACTTCCTCTTTGCAGAGTTGGTCTAGTTTCAGCTGACTGCTTCTACAACAATATATCTATTTCAAAAAGGGGAAATAAACATCAATACAAAATTTTATCTCAAAGTTTACAAGAATGCCCATTAACCTCTAAACCTCTAGTAAGGTAACAAAATAATGTAAAGACAATGTATGAAAGAGATGAGGGCTTGAGTCAGAGTCTCCAGACATGTGTTAGATTACCTGGAAGAGTCCGCCCCGTCTGCAAAAGTATGTGAAGGAGTTGACAGTCATCCATTGTGGCTAAAACACTCACTATAGTTACTTCTTACTCATACACCCTCACTTAAAAATACTGAAATGTCCCTTTAATGTATCCTAAACAACACAGCAAGGGTTAAGGTCAACTCTTTCTTGTCGATCTGAAAGGCAAACAAGTTTGTGCATCATCAGCAAAGCGATGAAACGAAAAATAACAAAAGGAGCAGAGAAAAAAGAGTGGTCCCAAAACAGACCCTTGAGGGACGCCACACGTAAAAAGGGCCATCTCAGAGGAATAATCCCCTTTATGACCCAAAAGTAACAGAACAGCTGAATCTGAGCCTGAATCAACAGTTAAATCAGATCATTAAAAACTCTTGAAAGTGCAGTTAAGGTACCGTGAGTTCAGCAACTTTTCGGTGACTGATGTAAAAAAAAACAATAATACAAAACCATTGTTCTTCCTTTACCTCTCATGCACTTTCGGTACCCTGGTATGCCAGAAACCTCGCGCAATATTAGATTATTATATGCATATTTCTGCAGAAACCCCTTTCATCCTCTCCTATCAAAGCCGGAGAAGTTTGTTGTAACAGAAACAGCCCCTGGGATCCTGCAGATACATTGTGCATAAACTGAGTCACTCAATGTAAACTTTACTTGAACCTCTCTGAAACAGAATAGGAGCGTAAGATGAACTCTCGCCACGGACACAAACCCACAGGAATGCATATCGAGTTGAAGGCACATCCAGAAAGGGGAAAATATCTTTAATTAATCGCACGTTATAGTGGCTCAGAGTCAAACCCCACTATCACAGCTCCGGTGTTTGCCTTACAGACAGAGAAGGTGTTGGTTACTGTCTTTCTTGGAAACGTCGAAGAACCGCTCTGGTTTCTTCAGAGCGCCTCACCTTGCTGTCCTTGTCACCAGACTGCACTGGAAGGGCTGATGTGGGCTTTGGCAGGCCATGCTGGACAGGAAAACCGACCCTAACACACATATGCACGGCAGAGAATGAAAGCACATTTGCAAAAGCTGTTATTGCCATAAAGCTATTGGAAGGAATTTTATCTTTGCGCCTGCCAAGAAAGGCTTGGAGTCGATGTGGCTTTGCAGAATTTCAGGACTTTAATAGTCTTTTAATGAACCTTCACAAAAAGTTTCTTTTTTTTCCACTCAGATTTTTCATAGTGTTAACATAAGGGAGATAATGTTGAGGTTTACACTGTGTAGAATGTGAATTAAAGCATATTTTGATGGTTTGCAAATCTGTTTAGACCGTATAATTAATTGCAAACAGTGAAAGAAAACATCAAATGTTTAGATAAAGTTTCAAATGTTTATTTTACAATTTACGTTTTGTTTTGTTTTTTATTTGCCAGCATTTTTCAGAAAAAATTGAGACACAGACCATCAAAATCCACTTTTGAAATTTTTATCAACATTGTCCACTGCTTCCAATTTTTGTGAATGTATGTATTTCAAGAAAATATGACTGGCATTCAACCCTGATATTTTCTCCAAAGCAGTTTTGGAAACATGAGAACATCTCATCTCTCTGTATTGAACATCAAACTATGTCAATGTTGACTCGGCGCAGAGAAGCAGCACCTCTCCCAGGAAGAAGCTCACACAGCTTCACTGCAGCTCATCAAACAGTGTGAGGCCGGCGCTCATCAAGGCGAAGGGTTTCTGAGTCACATCATCGCCATGACAACTATACATGGCGCCGCTCCAAGAGCTGCTGCTCATAAGCCTCCTCGTGTGAACTGGAAACTCGGAATTGAAAAAGATATGAGAAGGAGCTGTAACCTCAGCTGTAAACAGAAGGCGTTCAAATAAACAGAGAGATACTTGGAGTAAAAAACGAGTGAAACTGTTTCCTCACTTTTCATTGGTGGTATTTAAAGAGCCAGTTTACAGAGCTTATCTGACTAGTATTTAGATGTCTATGTCCACTGAAAGCAGGTGGATACATTCTATTGGCAATACTGTAAAAGTGATCTTTAGAGTGTTTATCTGCAGCACAGCCTCTGAGACACAAAGTGCCTTTGTGCTTTTGTTGGTTATTCAGAGTAACAGGTTTGCAGCTGACATTTCAGCTTTGGATACAGTGTTTCCTGACCTTCATAATCAAAGTTTAAGGCAGGTTACAAAAAGTTTAGAAGAGGAAGAGGTAGAGGTAGAGGTTAAAAGAGGTAGATGAGACATTTTTCTGTTGTCATACAAACATGAAAGCTGCTTTCTTAGTTTCTAAGTTTTTCATTCATGGATATATCCTGCATAAAAAAGCACTGGAGCGCTAAAGTCATCATTAAGGTTGCTGAGAGAAATCAGACTTTCAATTATACTTTGTGCTACACAAAATTCATATTTAATTTATATATTATTAAATACATACCAAAGTATGTTAAAAATGTCATAGTATAGCATGTTAAAAATTGTCATAGTATACTCTAGTAGAAATTTCACAATTAGGGTTGAAAAAATATATATTTGAAAAGTATGTTACAAAATGTCAAAGTATAATATGACAAAAAAGGTCATAGTATAGTATGATAAAATTTCACATTTTAGATTAAAAGATATGTCATAATTTAGTATGTAAAAAAATTTCATAGTACATGATATAAAAATGTCATAGTATAGTATGATAA